ACTGAGTCATGGACTATCATGAGTAAAGCAGTGTCAGGATTGCTTCCCAACCCTCTGGTCCTAGTTGAATATACTGTAACTGACTTGCTTTTACAAATAGGGTTTTGTGGTCACCTATTGCACTGTCTTAAGGTGTTGCATTCCTCTGGGCTTCTCAGTATGCTTTCATTCCCCTCTCTAGTGGAGTGTGGGAGCCCTTGCCATTTACCAGTTCCTAGCCACTGGGGTGGTGGACTATGGAGAATTCCTCCTGAGTCTGACCAATTCCATTCTGTAGAGAGTAGGGTGGTGGTATTCTGTTAGTGTAGATGGTGTGAATCCTCTTCATACTGCAGAAAGGATGAAAAATTCCCCCTGCCACCTGCTGTTGGACTGGAGATGGTCCACCTCATGCAGTTCACTCCTCCAGCTGGCTTTTCCTCCCTCCTACTGCTGCCCAGATGTCGTTTCCAGGTAGTTTGGTGTTAGATCAGTACTGGACCAGACAACATAAGTCCTCACTCATGTGGTTGGTTGGGACCTTCCTCTTGGACTGGATAAAAAATTCCCACTACCACTATGTTTACTTTCCCCCATCTTACCATTGCCTGGATGTTAGGTTCCTGGGTGGCCTGGTGTTGGATGTCTAATGGGTACGCACGCATGAGCACTTTCTAGAATGGTGGAACAGAAGTTAATTTTTTCCTTTTGCTTACTGGTATGGAGGTGAAGGTTATTAGGATCCTCTTCCTTCCATGAAATGGATGAAATATCTTAGTGCCATTCGGTTTGGACTGGAGATGACCCACCATGTAAGGTCTGACATCCAGTTTCCATATGGTGTTTCTGGACTTGCTTCTTTTCTGCCGGACTTGGCAACACATTTCTTCAATACGGGTGAAGAGTATACCCTGATACAGAAGGGGGTGTGGTCTCCTATGGGTGTACTCTTATACTTTCATAGTATAAGGTATCATGCTTCATGGGTTCTCTTCAGGCACTTTATGAAGGAGGCTCATTGGTCCCTCCATCACTTGAGTGTGGGATTCTAGCATAGTATTATGTGAATACTGTATCAGAAGTTAACATTTGCCAACACTGAAAATGTATTTCCAATAGATACTTACATCCTCTCACACTTCCCACCTGTCCTCCTCACTTAAAGTGCATTTTTTCATGCCTAATCTGGAAGTGATGATTGTACACTTCAGGATAGCTGGATTCAGCTGTTCTAGGAGGGTGTGTCACACTCCTATTGGTAGAGAGTTGTCGCATGCTCACTTGCATACTATAGGCAGTAATACCACCTGGAAACACATTAGTTTGGGTGGAAGTCTCAGGGCTAGTGGTGAGCAGAAAATTTTGCATGTAGAAGGCAGCACAAGTTCAGGAAAGCTATTATGTGAGAAGATGCAAGTATCTATCGGAAATACTTTTCAATGTTGAAAAATGTTAACATTTGGTTGATTGCTTGATATTTGATGTAGTAAAAGTAAATTTTCAGCTGTCTTCTCTTACAAACCCTGCTGTATTTCTCCTTAGGATGAATATGCAATATCTCATAATCAGGGTAATCTGCTAAAGTTTTACTAGCACAATAACGTGAGATACAATACCCTCTGTTAAAGTAAATTCACTCACAGTGCTGACTAACTGCACTAATGCTGATTGAAAACACCATAGCAAATACACCATGACACTAATTAATAATGAATATAAATCAACACATGTAATAAAGAACATGTTAGACATAAAAGACTGTGTATGGAAAATCATGTAATACTTACATCATGTGTTAAGTTATGGAATTTTGTTTTCTTTGTGAATATAATAATATACTATTTTATGAGATGGTCTTACTTCATTAAAGGGTAGTGTATTTAAGAACTTATGTTTAAGCCGTGAGAGAAATTCTATCAAAGATTACCTTTCTAAATATGTTCTTGTCTCACTACATTTTTGTATTAAATGTTAATATAATAATTTAAACTGTGTACTTGTAAAATTTATGTTAATGAAAACATTGCAAAGCATATTAAAAATTTTATATATCTTGTGAAATAGTTGTTATATGTGTTTATAAACACATTAAGGTAATTCATGGCGATTACATATTTAATATATTAATATGTATTTATAAAACAATATAATATTTATTAAGTACAAACAATAAGTTGCATTCAGACTTATGCCAATTTAGAGGACTAAAGTTAACAACTAGAATTAATATTTTTTGTATATGGTAATGACAAACAAAATAATCTTTGCTATGAAGTAAATAATACCTAGAAACATGCTTTCTACACAATAAATTTAACAGTGAGTGAACCAGCAAGATGGAAACAGTTATTCTCTTATGAAATAATATTTTGTTTTAGCTGCTCAGTTAAACCCTACTTGTCTTGTTCTAATATATGTAGTTAGCCATTAATGAGAAGTACAGCTGCCTTGTTATAGTGTAAGTAGTTAGCCATTATAGTGAAGTATAGATGCCTTGTTCAAATATAGGTAGTTATTAAGGGTAAGTACAACTATCTTTTTAGCCATTAAAGATCAGCATGGCTATTTTTTCATAGTACAAATAGTTCACTGTTAGTGAAGCAGAACTGTCATGTTATTATATAAGTAGTTAGACATTAAGGTGAAATAGAGCTATCTTGCTATTATATTAGTAAGTAGTTGCAATTAAAGTGAAGCACAGTTTTCATTTTATAATATAAGTAGTTGTTTGCTATTAAGGTGTACACAGCTATCTTGCTATAATATAAGCAGTTATTGGCCATTAAGATGAAACACAGTTATCATGTTATAATTAATTAGCCATTACAGTGAAGTACGGATATCTTGTTGTAATATTAGAAGTCAGCCATTAAGGTGAAGTACAGCTATCTTGTTATATGGTATTAGTAGTTAGCTATAAACGTGAAATATAGTTGTCTTGTTCTAATGTTAAGTAGTTAGCCATTAAAATGAAGTACAGCTGTCTTGTTCTAATGTAAGTACAGTATTTAGCTATTAGGATGAAGTACAGTTGTTTTGTTATAAGTACTTACTAGCCATTAAGGTGTACACAGCTATTTTGCTATAATATAAGCAGTTATTGGCCATTAAGATGAAGCACAGTTATCATGTTATAATTAATTAGCAATTACAGTGAAGTACAGCTATCTTGTTGCAATATTAGAAGTTAGCCATTAAGGTGAAGTACAGCTATCTTGTTATATGGTATTTATCTGTTAAAGTAAAAATAGCTGCATTCTTTAAACATGTGGATCACAGCTGGAAGAAATGTGTTTTTGAAACTTGTGCCATAAGACTGATAAAATATATCAAGTTTATGTTTTCTTTGAGCTCACAATGTAACTTCTAATAAAACAATACTTATAATCAGTAAGTATACTCAAAACAAAACTATTAATTCCATTATTTGTTACCGTTTAAATCTGTCCTTTCTAAACTTCCAAAACATTACAAAACCTACTCACTCATAGTTTGAGGTTTTAATGCTCGTGGTGGAATTTGAAGCAATTATACTATATGACACATACATCAGACATATTACTAGTTTTGTAATTTTGCATAATGGTAAATGAATGTGAAATAGTTTTTATATGTTATTATCTTATAAATTAGAAATTTATTGCTTACATACTTTGTGTATGGTAATAACAACTAAGATTTTATTATTAGATTCATAAACTTTCACTTCTATTATTATATTTAATCTCAAATACTCCATTTGTAGTATATTTGCTAGTATTAACTACTATGATGCATTTATTTAGCAGAATCATTTGATACATCATGTCCTCAAGCATGTGTATACTTAAAACTTATGATTTTGTAAACATATATTTAAATTTAATCTAACATCATCTAGGTTTGCATGGTAATGATTGATTAATTATCAGGTTTTATCAATTTTATAGTCATGTAAAATTGCATTTATAATTCCAAAAACTGTATCTTTAAAATGTATGTAAATGTTCACAACAAGAGATTAGTTGTTTACTTTATTTGATGTAGAAAACGAGGGTTATTTCAATGTATATTAAACTCTTCATTTAACAGTTCTTTTATATAGTTATATTCTATAACAAAAATCATATCTATAAAATGTTTCCTTTTTTCAACTGAAAAATTTAGTTAGAATAATTTTTATCATACAGTGGAACAGTTTCATTAATTACCTTATTACACAGCTGAATCTAACTCCAGTTAGTATATTCTGACATTCTCCAGTTCTTTCACTAATGCCTGAACTTGTCAAATTTTGTGTTATATAGTCTGATTCTCACAATCTACAGGCATAGTAGAATTTTTGCTCATCTTTCTTTAGGATATTTCATTACAAAATAGAGAATACATTGTTGAAAATTATGTCAAACATGCATGCAGTGTAAATATTTATCTAACCTCATTACATGCTCTTTTAACCTGTTGTGAACAATTTACTAAACTTGGCAATAGATGCTACTTTATTTTTTCACTAAAATCCACTCAAAATTCTTAGTGACATTAGCATTTTTGGTTTGATGAATTTTAAGATATAGTACATTCATACATCAATGAATGAACTTCAGAATGGTAGTATTATTTGTGGTTGTTCACAGATTGAAATAATAATGTTTTCTGTAACAAACAAGATCACTTTTCTATAGTAAGTTTTTTTTTTCCATTGAAACTGTCAATTTATCTTGTATTTAAATCATTGTTCTGAAACATGTAAGATCTCATTTTTATGTAATTTTTCTAAAACAGATAAATTTGAAATGTTGATATTATACAGGACCAGGAATTTGTAGTTTCGTTTCTTGCATTCTTCATAATGTAGTTTAAAATTTTGCCTGTTGTGTAACATTAGAATGTCTCCGAGTTATTACCCTTTGCTGACTTGGGAGAAGTGGAAAATTTTTGTTATTCAAAAGTGTAAATGCACCTTTTGCAAGAATATCAAAGACTTCATCAAATGTTATACTGCTTACAACTCACTCTCATAATGTAATAAGTATTTTCTAAAGTGTTGCAGGTGGTCTTCAACTGAAGCAAGATCTTCAATATATCTGCAACTGGATGTGGAAATCTTCATTAAATTGTCAAGTTATTGAAGAAGTCATGACCTGTGAGAAACTGCTCAAATTTTCAGCTTTGACTGATTTCCTAGCTACTCCTGAACACAGGAAAGTGCCACTGATTAGCAGGCAGAATCATGTTGTTCCTGTCTCTCTAGAAATAGGTGGGCTTCTTAACCAGATTTTGCAAAGTTAAAATGCAGTCTTTCTTTAGAGAAAATAACTTGAAATCACTACTCATTGTAATTAAATGTGTTTTATTCATTTTATAATGCTTTATTTGTGTGATATTCCATATATATACATATATATATATGTACACACACACACAGCATGGTCACAAGTAAATAGACACCACCTTTTCAGAAAAAATGAAATTTTTCAGTCATATTCATATGAATTGATATATTTATAATTTAATTAATATCTAGTAGATCTTCCTTTCGCTTCGTGGAGTTCGTTGATCCTTTGGGGCATTGTGAGAATCATCTCATCAATTTTAAATTGTGGGATTTTCACCCACTCTTGCTTCAAAACTTGGAGTAGATCGCTCTTGCAAGTTGGTTTTTTGGTTGTTTCTTGACTTGCCGGTTGAGTATGGCCCAGAGGTTTTCGATGGGGTTCATGTCAGGAGATTGGCTCAGCCAGGGTGACTTCTGGATACCATTTTCTTCCTGCCACTTTTGAGTGTTTCTAGCAGTGTGACACGGTGCTTCATCTTCCTGGAACAACGTTGTGTTCTTGTCCACGAAACCCGAGGAATAAAGTGGCAAGAGTCCTTCCTCCAATATTTCGACGTATTTCGCAAAATTTATCACCAACCCAAACAGCTCCCCAAACCATCACGCTGAAACCACCATGCTTCACAGTTGGCTGCAATCTGTTGAGCCAAAATTCTTGGTGAGGCATTCTCCAGATCCATATCCTTCCACTGATTAGTGGTCTTCCAAAAGTCCAGAGGCTTGGTTATCACATCACTTGCCCACTTCTTTCGTCTGACTATGTTGGCAGGTCTTAATAAGGGCTTCTGTCTAGCTGCTCTGCAACGATAACCCAATCTGTGGAGAATCCATTGAACAGATTTCGGGCTCATCCCACCAACTTTGGCCACTTCTGCAGTCGTTAATCTGGGATCCATTTCAATGCTCCTCTTGACAGCCCTTTTTGTCCTCTGTGATGGACCAGGACGACCTGGACGCTGCTCAGTTGTTTCCTTGCCGTGTTTCCTGAACTGCACGATGATTCTGTTAACTGTCGAAAGTGGGATTCCCTAATTCTGCGAAATCTGCCGCTCACTTATTCCACCATCTGGTTGA